TTCCTTTCTTAATGAATGTTAGTTAGAATATAATGTATATTATAATATTAGAAGGTATATTTTGTTAATCTCATATCTAGTAGATAAGACCAAGTTCATATATTCTATTATTATAAATATAAGTTTTGTGATTATATCGAGACACAATTTTTTTACCCACAAATTGACGTGACTCAGTGATTATAAGTTTAATTTTTAGTATTTTTATTCTATTAATAAATATTAGATGTTATGAAGTTTTTTAATATAAATATATGCAGAACTTTATATTGCCACAATGAATTTTTGTATGAAGGAAAGTATGTAACTTTTTTGTTAGAATTTTTTTTTTTGGAGATTTTTTGTCGTATAATTTAAAGTACAGAATAATACAATTGTATAATGTATATCTTCGATCGAATCCTAATCATCAAATATACGTAATATTTTTTATAAAAATTTAAAATTATGATTAATTTAATTGGAAATTATTAGACATAAAGCTTGCAAATAATTGTATAATATTACACCACATGCATACTGAGTAGACGTCGTACTATTCATGACAAATTCTCCAATATAGAACGCAAACACATAAACAATTAGCCAACATAAAATACTCACTACATTCAAACGCATGTTGGTTTGTATGTGTGCTTTTTATTTATTTATCAATCTGGAAAATAAGATTCCATTCTTCGTAATTTGAAATCAAGTTTAATTTCGTGCTGTAAATTTATTGAACTACCTTTTATTTTAAAATTAACAATTTATTTCGATAACACTGATCACTTTCAGGTTTTGATGAAATTTTTAAAAATAATTGTAGCATCACTTTCAGTTGAAATAAGTTATTTAAAATTTAAATTTGAATTTTTTTTAAGTAAAACAAAGCTTAAGTTTATTACAATAAAATATGTATACTTTATAGTAAGTGTTATAAGTTTGATTTTAGTAAAAAAAAAAAATTAAAGTAACTAAAATAAATTATATTTAAAACTTTCATCTCAAAAATAAATTTTAATAAATTTTAATATGAAACTATATCAATTTAACATTGAATCTATCTTTTGTGTTACTTTTTTATTCAAACGTGCTTTTATTAACAAACTTAATTTTGATAAAAAATAATCAAACATATTTTTTTTGGGGACAAAATTACATTAAACACTATCAAATATGCAGTTGGGTGTCTCAGTTGCATAACCAAACATGATCATATTCTGAGTTTGTAAGAAGCAGCATTTGGAGCTGAAGTCAAATTGTTCAGAAAGGTTGTCTAGTCTTCATATTTAGCGTTTAACATGTCAACATTATGTACTAACACAAATATGTTAGGATTATTGTAATCTTTATTTAGTTTTTTCCCGTTTGATTGATAGTTTGGCTCATGTGATTGGACTAAATATAACACAAAGTCAGGAATAAAATCTTAAGAAAAGGCCAGAATCTACATAATCACGCAAGTACAAATTAAATAAAATGCATGTATTTGGCAATTTAAAAATCTAATACTAATAGTCCAGTATGACATTATGATGATTTATTGTAATGCATGCCATGCGCGATTATAAAAAAATTTATAAGGCAACATGATATTATTTCTTAGTGTGCAACATATTTAAATAATATAATATTTAATCAACCTGAATTCCCATTAAATTAATAAAATGGTCAGATTAATAGTTCCATAATATTTCTACTAATATACGGTACAAATAAACAGTTTGATATAATTTATAAATTAATAAAATAAAAGTATGATAAAATCTTGGAAGATGCTTATATTAGCTAGAAGCCTAGAATTACATTATTTTATGGAAAAAAATATTTTTCCTTTTACAGGACGTAGAGTTGTGTCATTTTAAGATAAAGAAAAACACAACGTAGTATTTTTTTATTTAAGATTTAAATTAAAAAAAATACCTGCTTTCTTGTTGAAAATCGATAATCACACAGAAATCGCAAATGAAAAGAGAAAGAGAGAGAGAGAGAATTGACACATTAATTTACCCTGATTCATTCAATATTGTAGGCTATGTCCAGTTTGTCTGTACTATATTCACCTCGCCGCCACTCATTATAAGTCACTCAATTTACAAGTAGAATATAAATAGGATTTGAAAACCCTAACAACAGCTATTCATGGGCTCAGATCCAAACTACAAAGAAAAAGAAAAAAATACAATAAATCAGAGACGCACAATAATGTCTAACCTCTATGGGTTGGGGGCGCCGCCTCCCGGACCCCCTGCTCACCTAGGAATGAGATCTTAGTTGCCTTTTTGCTGACCCCGACAACAAGGGCCCTTATCAGTATGAGTAGTATAAGCCATGCACGTCCAATATTTTTCTCCTATGATTTTCATTGCTTATATCTTTCTCTCACTTAAAATGACATAACTCTATATCTTTTAAAAGGACAAACACTAAGAGTGAGAGGAATTTTACCTTATTCACACAAGATATGTTTTCTTCTGCATTATTTTATTTTTAGTAATAAAGTTTGAAGACACGAACACGGACAAAAAGAAAATTCTTTGAGGCTACATTTTGTATTACATTAAAAAATAAGGAAGAAAAAGTTAGGGTTTAATATATTGGACACAGATTTAAGAGTGTAAAATTTACTTTTAGCTTTGTTAGGTTGCTTTGATATAAATTTATATTGACTAACAGCAACAGAGCAACCCGAGCCATGGTAAGGTTCATCAATGTTATGTGTTTCTTTAACCCTTGTCACCGGAATAATGTTTCGTGCTTTGGTTTGATAACCATTATCCATTCTTGTTGACGACCAGGATAAGTTGTGTACTAAATTTATTCGGCTTGTTGAGCAAATATAATTAAATGGGTCATATCTGTTATATCTTCTGGACTTGTTTATTTCAACATTGCCATACCGATCACTATTTGCATTCACACGTGAGGGTTCAAATATGTATTTACAATATCATAAACAGTTATAAATGACTGGATTCTTGCATAAAAGAAGTTTATGAATTTTCATAATGCCAAACTTCATACCATAATAAGATTACCTTGAGCAATAAAATTTACTCAGAAAATTCAGTGAAAATTTTTGTCGTAAAAAAAAATTCCGTTGAAATCTTTTTACAAAAAAGAATTCCATTGAAAATTTCAAAAAAAAAATAAAAAAATCCGTGGAAAGTGACAGAAAGAAACGTCCACAATCAACTATCTGTTGAGTATAATATGTTCGACTGAACACTTTGCTAACAAACATAAAATCCCTAATTTCATTTACTAGAAAATTTTTCCTGATTTCACAAAAGTTTAATCCCTTAAAATTAATTTCATCCTTGCCAGTACTCCCTAATCAAACATACCCTAATTACAAAAAAATTCGTAAATAGATAACTTTTGGAATATCTATAGGACTACAATCAAAGCTAGCTCTCGTAAGATGAGTAACTATATTCCAACTTCATTTATTTTAGAATATTCCTATCCCGGGTGCATCAAACAGACATAAGAGAATAAAAAATGAGAGAGGAAACGTTGAAAAAATGGTATCATAGGAAAATATATATTCCCATTGAATAACTATTAGATATTCAACACGAATGGAAAATAGATAATAATTATAAAGTAATAGACTAATTAATATGGAGTCCTAAGAATGGTAAAAATGATATTGATAGAGCTGTCCCAAAATGAATGTACTGAAGACAAATTACATTAGATTGGATAAAAAATAGACTAATTAATAGGAATAAATAAAAAATAATGAAATTTTTAACTAAACAATAAACAGAGAGTATATTATTATTATTTTGTGAATAAATATACATTTAGCATTAAAAAAACACATATAAATATTTTTAAATAATATGAAATTAGGGAAGGGATTTACTTATTTTAGGAGTAAGTCTTGGATACTTAAACTATTTAATAATTATTTGTAAAATATTAATTTTACAAATCTAATAGTTTAATCATTGTAAAATTATTTTGACTGTTATGTATATCAAATTTTAAATGAATTAAATATGTATAGATATATAATCTGACAGTCAACATTTAATTATGTTTCAAAAAACATATAACAATAAAGATGTCCAACAAAGTATCCATTAGTTTTTAAATTATATGATTTGTAAATTTAATCTTATCTAATAAGAACTTTGAATCTAATAATTAGATTGATGAAATATAACTTCATAAAAAAACTATTAAAAAATATAAGTATGACATAATTTACTATTAAAATAAATACATTTTCACTCTATTAATTAAGTATAATATTAAAAAAATTGAATCCTTCTAAAGAAAAGCCTAAAACAAGGGCTTTAATTGCTTTATTGAAATATACATATATATATATGTGTGTATGAGGAGAGATCTTTTTGACTTTAGTATAAAATTAAGAAATTTTACTTTTTATTTTTGTTTTTGATTTTTGTCTATCTAATGATTATAATTTATTTAAAATTTTAGAATTAATAGCTAATTAATTAATATAACTCAATAAATTATAACTATTAGAGCAATAGAAATCAATGACTAAGATTAATAAGACTTTCTAAATTGAGATCCTTTCTTTTATATATATATATATATGTGTGTAGGCCTAGAGCCCTAGAGTGTTCCAATTGGATTAAAATGGTTTGGAAAAAATATATTATACAATTGACTATATAAAAATGTTGTTTTGAAAGCATCTATCAATTTATCCGCATGCTAACATGTTTCAAGAAATTAATAAAAGGGGAAAAAAAACCAAGACCCCAAGTTTAACGTTGTGGGTGGGGCGGCCTTAACGTGCAACTCACACGCTTACCAGGTTTGCGTGGCCTTATGCTGAGAGAGTAATGCCTTTGCTATCAGTGTTTCATGCGTAGAGAGGGGCTCACTCAGCCTCTCTCTCTCATGGCCTATAATTTGTAACCCTACACGCGTTACATTACACTCCTCAAAATCAAATCCTGTATTAAATGTCACACTACATAGTACATAGTACATAGTTTCCTTCTCACACATGTTCTCTCAGCCTTTTCTTTCTCTCTCCTATTCAGCAAGCCTTGTTTTGACTCGCATTTTCTGGCATTAAAGTGTGCCAAGTCCTTCTCTTTATCGTTTCATCAGAGCATTATTCAATTTCGTATTGCACTCTCTCATCTCCCACTATTCATTTTCCTTCTTCTTCTCAGTTCTCTCCATCCTTTTCTCCATTTCTCTGCCATTAATCTGCATATACATATATATATCCTTCCAAAACATATTGGGAAAATAAAAATGAAGGTATGATTCCCACTTTCTAGTTTTGATTCTCTGTTGTTTCATTCTTTCTTTCTTTTTTTCTTCTCTAAAACGGATAATTAATTCACTTTTGAACTTTGACTCAGAACGTTGATTCATTATTGATTCGCATTGAACTTTATGCTTTTCTAATTTTCTTTCTCTCTTTTCCTTTCCTTTGTTTTTTTATATTCTATTCTTTTCTCTTTCTTTTTCCCCCTCCTTATATAAAGATCTGAGTTATGTGTCTGAAATGAATTTTGCTATGTATCCTAAATCAGATTCATGGTTTTCGATTTGATTGAGCTTATGGGGTATCTGTGTGGGATGGATTAGATTTTTTATCTTTTCCAAGATGTAAAGTTGACAGTGCTTATGGTTGGTACTTGGTATATAGAACTTTTGGTTTCAAGTATATCACTTTTGTTTGGTGTTTGGATGGTTCAGATTTTGTGTGTTATTGTATAAATATTTTCCCGCATGATAAGGTTAATTATTTGAATCTGGGCCAAATGAACCACACTCTGATTTTTGCTTGCAGAAGTTTGTACTCAAGTTAGATTTGCCAGATGACAAGGCGAAACAGAAGGCCCTGAAAATAGTCTCTACACTTTCAGGTACCAAATCATTGTTCACCCTTTTCTAAGATACTTCAATATCTAAATTGTTGGTGCCCAAATCAAGTGAATGTTAGAAAATTTTGAGATCTGGGTGTGGGAGAGGGATAGTTAATCTGATAGATGAGGAAACCTACAATATCATTGATACTAGACATTTGAGCAGCAACCTATATGGTTATTTTAACAAGTTTCATTTTGGTCCCGTAAAATAATTTAGCACTATAATTCTAATCATATTATATGTCATGCTCTTGAAAAAAAAATTAATTTTTTAAAATACTTAATTATTATAATAATCAAACTTGTTAAATGCGTACTACACATGATGCGATAATATTATAATTTTTTTCTTTCTAAAAGTGAATAAAAATTAAATCTTATTTTAATTATTTTACTAGATATAACCATATTAAATGTGAGAGAGAATTCTTACTATCAAAATTTTCTACTGCCAACTTACTACCTATTTAATCATCATTGGATCAAAGAGAGAGAATGCTAAAAAGTTTTTGAAAAAAAAGAAAATATTGATCCAATGATGATTAGATAGGTAGTGAGTTGATAGTAAAAAATTTTGGTAGTAAAAATATCTCTCCTCGTTAAATATTCGAAATCTTATATTGCATACGATCTCGAGTCTCGGATTAAGGACGAAGACATACCAAATGCGTTATACACTTATACTTAACAAACTAATTTGATATTATCTAATAATTATTTTTCTTTCTTTCATCTAAAAAAAATATTTATCTTTTTATTTTATTTTATTATTATTTTTATTGATGAAAAGTAAAAAGGCAAACAATCCAACTATCCAAGATAAAAGTGTAGGTATATCATCAGAAACGCGGAAGCGCATCGAACCGACACGACGAGGGAAAAGATTAACCTTCATCGTTTTGATTACCTGGAAGGGCGTAGTTGTGTGACCACGAACAATAGTTGTTCCCTCTATGATCGATCTTCCAGACTATCTCTCGAGGAGGATGAGATGGTTGTGTGGGCAACCGTTCAGATGATGAACTCTTGGGTTTGTTTCTAATGATCTGTTCACCTTAGAGGCACAAGAGGAGAAAACTGTGAATATATACCTTAGGTCTTAGACATAACTCAACCCTAAGCCTCATGGGCTCAAGTGTCACTGAAGTCCAATAGGACTTTAGTGACCAAAAGAGCATATATCCAACAAAAAGTTAGGATGTCATCATGTTGTCCTTGGGTTATATTAAAATATTTTGAAATGGGTTTACGTGTTTCGGAAGAAAAATGGTTTGTTGCATTCATATTTGTAGTACTTAAATGGGTACCACAAGGCAGCTCATGAAATAATTTAGAATAGTGAAATTTTATGGTGTTTCTTGTTATTGGTACCTCTAATTTTTTACAGTTTATTATGAATGAAGTAAAAAAAAATGGGGTTAATTGAGTTGCGAATTTTAGAAAAATACATGTGGTGTTTAAAATAATCAAAAGACAAGATCCAATTCAAAAAAAGAAAAAAGAAAAAAGAAAATCCTAATGCTCTGCTTAAACTTTTCGCATGCCTACTTTCAGGTAATTTCACTTAACATGATATTTTTTTATTTTATTTTTTTGGAATGAAACCTATGACCTCACGTAGATTACCCAAATCCCTTACCTCTAAATCAATTGTAACGGCTTTAACATGATAGTTTTTACTAGTCAACTTTTAACTAATAATTTATTCAACATTGTGTCTTGAATTTGAATGAAAAATTTAAAGGTCAAGAAGAGCAATTCCAACTGAAGAGAGGTACCGTTATCTACATGGACCTTGGTTACTACATATTGCTCCCAAAAGATGAGGTTTATAGGAAGACAACATAACTGTCTTATAGGAAGACAGTTCTTGTTTGACTTGTTTGTTCTATTTGTGTTTGTATTAGCCTCCTCCACATTTGAAGTTGTAGTTTGATAATTTGTATAACAGTATTCATATGGAGAAACATATTTATTCTCTTAAAAGTATTTTTCATTTTCATAAAATTAACAAAGAACTCCTAACTATCAACCTCTGTAACCATGTAGGGATTGATGCCATCTCCATGGACATGAAGGAGAAGAAATTAACAGTGATAGGAACTGTAGATCCTGTGAATGTGGTGAGCAAATTGCGCAAATACTGGCCAACAGATATAGTCTTAGTAGGACCAGCAAAGGAGCCAGAGAAGAAAGAAGAGCCAAAGAAAGAAGAAGGAAAGAAGGAGGAAGAGAAGAAAGAAGAGCCAAAGAGTGAGGAAGACAAGAAAGGAGAGGAGAAGAAGGAAGAACCAAAGAAAGAAGAAGAGAAGAAGGAAGAAAAGAAAGAAGATGAGAAGAAGAAAGAGCCTGCCCCAGATCCTATTTTAGAAATGGTTAAGGCTTATAAAGCATATAATCCACACATGACCACATATTACCATGTTCAAAGCATGGAAGAGAATCCAAATGCTTGTGTCATATGTTAAATAAAAAAGATGTGGAAACATAAGGGAAAGACATATATATAAAAGCTTTCTCAACTTGTAATGGAATCAACTATCTTTAATGAATTATAGGAGGCTACAACAATCAAGAAGATAGATACTCCTTGTATATAATGTGGTGATGCCTCGTTTAGTTGTTTTGAGACCAGTTTAGCAATGTGTAGAGAGAAGGAATAAAATTTTGGGGAATTTGTTTTGAAAAGAACAGAAATGTAATTCATACTATTTTTCAGTTAAATTAGAATTAGTACTTAGTTTGTATGGTGATGTCAAGAAAAATTATATGGAGAAAATTGAAAACGCTAGGCTTATGCTTTTATTACATGGCAGGTTATATTTACAAACTTTTTTGTTTACAAACTCTTACAAATTACACTAAGTATGACCGGTCATACTTTAATCATACAGTGTACAACCGGTCGTACGTAATGTAATTTGCAAAAAAAAATTTGTAAACGGATCCTGTCCCTTTATTATAATAGTGAAATGTTAGCACACTCATTGCCACTTCATGACATGAAGAAAATGTTTCTTTCTTTCTTTTTTTTATTCTGTGGCATTGTCATGTCCTTTGTCATGTGGGACATGGTGGCTGAAAAGCAAGGTACTCCCCATGGGGTTGAGATTTGAGGGTGGGACACTATTTTTTGTTTCCTTTTTTCAGAACTCTGTTTTCCCCTGCATTTGTGTCGCAAATAGGAAGTGCAGTGAAGACTATACAGTTAAAATAGAATTGAAAACAATTAATAATTGACATACTTTATTTAACGTGAAAAATCCTAAACTGCTGAAAGAAAAAATTACAGATAAGAATAGAAAATGTTTTACTAAAAATAAATTACAACTCGTACATTTTTTCTTGCTCTTTTTAACTTTACACGGCTTATGGGATTCTTTGGTCCCATTGGTTCATATATGTATTGAATGATTGAAGTTTCATGGTCCCCATGCTGTAATTGGTCGGTGTAAGTTATCATCATCATCATTTTTTTTTTCATTGGCTTCCTGAGCCATCACACTATCTAGCTTGTTGGGAAGCATGTAGCTTATGGAATTTTCTGCTCGTAGAATCATTATTTTGTTGATTGTTTGGAAGGTGTGGTTCATGCCTATCTATCTATCACATTGTTGCGTGCTCTATAAGTGGCAAGTGTATGAGTCATACAAATAATAAAAATAATAAAAGGGATAAGAAAAATATCGTTTCCAATTGGATTAATTTAAATAATAAATTTGGGTATATAAAAATAACTAGAAGTAATTCAAATAAGAAGTAAAATTAAATTAATTTAAAGTAAGAATAAAATTAAGAATGTTAAGATTAGATCAAGAGTTATAAAAAATAAATAGTGGGAATTTCAACTTTGCCTGATTTTTTTTTTTTTGTGAAATTTAATTTAAATTCATAATTAATTATCCTTTCAATATCCCCAACTAAATTAGCATAATCAGATAAAACTCAATTTCTTGACATTCTAACCATTTACTCCCTTTCAAGAAACGTAATGTCTTAGTATCTCTTAGAAGGGATTAAGCATTACAAATAAAGAATTATTGAGATTATATATATATATATATATATATATATATATATATATATATATATATATATGTATATATATATATTTATTTATCCTATTGTCATACATAAACCTTACTAAGAGCATTACTCATAGAATAATTCACTTAATATTAAAAGGAAATCTTGTATTAATAAGATAAAAAAAAGCTGCATAAGATTCAATAGGATTTCATCTAATCCTAACTCAAAAAAATTAGAAAGACATAACAATTTCAAAAGCAATAGGAATAGAGAAGGCTTGCATACCAAAAAAAAAGAAAAAAAAAAGAAGGCTTTCCTGACTCAATCTTGCCTTCCGCGATCTCTGAAGCTCTTTAGGAGTAATTTTGCAATTATGATCCTTTAACTGGCAAGTCTGCACACAACTTTCGTGTTTCAGGTATCACTTGAGATATATTTGTCCGATTTACATAATTTTGATCTGGTTAGAAAGATAAAAGAAAAATTTACAATTTTTATACAGAACTCAAGATCCTAGATCATTTGATAAACTAAGAATTTATTACATATATATGTTTATTTTTTAGGTTTATTATTTCTTATATTATAAGAGATAAATTTATCTCTCATACACACATAAAAATATGTGAGACGCATATTTTTTTCTCTTTCTATTCTCGTCACATGAGCTCATATGAACCTCACATATTTTTATGTATGTGTAGAAGATAAATCTATCTCTTATAACATAAGAAATACTTTTTTTTAGATAGAAATGTAAACTGAAAAAATAACTCAATACAAAACTTACCAAAACTCACAACCACTAAACCTTTATTTTTTACTACATTACTTAGTGGTGTACATTTAAAGTAATCGCCTCATTCTTAATTTTTTTTTTTCTTCCTCCCTAAAGACAATAACCTAAGCTACTATACCTTAACTTTTAGGTGGCAGGTCGTCTTAGCTTTTGTTTTCATCCTCAATCCACATGGAGACAACCCTCACTGTTTGTACTTCTTATACACTACAAGGTAAAGGCGTGTGATTAAATAATTGTAAATAGTGCTGTACAGATTAGCGTTTGAACTATCTATTACCTCGGAATTTCTTAATGTGCTTTAGAATTATCGTGGTTCTTCCACTTAATTTAAATTTTTTTTCTCTTCTCTTTTTTCTTTTCTCAAATTTTTTTTATTTCTCTCACTTCAGTCTCACCAAATTTTTTTTGATTCGGAACCACTATAACTTCGCTCCTATTACCTCAGAGCTAGAGTCTGATTTAACTTATTTTTCACTTTCCATGGTTTTAAGAGAAAATATTTTGGTACATCGTATGTATATAATTTGATACATTTTTTTCATATTTGGAAAACTTTTCACTATTTTTTTTTTAAAAATTCTTCCACGTTAAAAAAATTAATGTATTAAGTTGGGTACATTTGATGCACTAAAATTTTATTCATTTTAAGGGATATAATGGGGAATTTCATTAAAAAATAAATCAAAACTATCGGAATATATACTCCAGAAGAGCGAATTAAAATGCCTATGTTTTCCAATTTCAACGCCCTTAAGCATACTTTAGGCAGAACTGCAACAGTTAATCACAATCTTAATCATTATACGTCATTGGTGATATGTGTAGAGTTGACTATTTTTTATTTTTATTTTTTTGGAAAAGTGTAGAATTGACTATTTGATTTGGTCGGTGAGTTCATAATTAATCTTTGTCCTTTGTCATTCCACTATTGGAATCAATTTCAAGAAAAGGAAGAAGAAGAAAAGGTATGAAATATATTCATAAATATATGGCAGGAAATATCCAGCAGTTACAAGTTAGCAAAAGCAAATGTTAAAAAATAAGTAAATTACCTTACCTGTCCTTAAATGAAATGTTAAGTGTTTACTCTTTTATTTTTGTTTTAAAATATACAAACACGTTTCTAATCAAATATTCACATAATGAAGCATGTTATCTTTGGTTTTTATCAATATCTAAATATATAAGTTCATGGATGTACAAAAAAAATACATGTAAAGTATTAAAAACAGCTTGTCAGTGTTGAATATACGTGTATAATTGAAGGGAAATAATTATCTCATGTTGCATCAGATAATTATCTCATGCAACAGAGACAAAATAATGAAGTTCACTATTTTTTCTTTTTTAAAAAAAGTAGTGGATCCCACAATCTTATATCTGTTGTATGAGATAATTATTTCATGCAACATATGAGATTAATAGATCCCATAATGGAATGATAACTAAGTTCCGTATGGGGGGAGTGTGCATACGAAGTACAAGTGCAAACACGTAAGAAACTTATCCTTAAGGTATTATATTATATCCAATAATGTAGTGACTAAAAGAAATTGAGCAGAGTGTCAAGACTTTTGGGTTTTGATTATGCTAGTTGTTGATGCAACGAGTTGGAGTCAACACTGATGCAGAAAAGGAGTATGAACACAAAGGATAGTGTTTTACCAGACTTAATGTATCATAAAATAGTTTTCATACTGAATCAATATGATTTAACATTTTTACATTTCTATTTTTTTTAGAAATAGTTTTTATTTTTAATAATAACATATCTCTAAGCATTATTTTCATTAATAACTTAAGAGGCCGTTTAGCTGAGCTTTTTTCTAACTTAAAAGCTAGAGATAAAATAAGAGCTTAAAAATAATGCTTAGCTTCAAACCTACATTAAAGGTGAAGCTCTAAATAAGGTGTTTGGTGAAATAATTTATATAAATATTGTTAATTCAAATTAAAATTATCATATATGGTACATAAATACAAATATATACATTACTAAGGAAGGCTCATATAAATACAAATATTATTTTGAAAATGAAAAAGATAAAATTTTAATAATACTTATTTTTAATACATTTAAAAATAAAAAAAATGTATTTAAATACTGATATATCAATTTATAAATAATATACTTATCGATATAATAATTTTTATTTTTTAATATACTAAATATTGAAAAATAAATATTTGTAGCAACTTACACATGAGACTTAGTTACATGACCTGTACTTGATAGGAAAATAAATCACATCATGAGTTGCATGTGTGCTTTTTTAAAATAAGCAAAAAAACAAAAACAAAAACAAAAAAACTTGAAGCTGCTGTTGAGAATTTTTCATAAAAATTACTTTTATTTTTTTTTCTTAATTAAAAAAGGGAAAAAAAATTTCTGATGTTACTTAATATAACTTTATCTAATGTTCATCAAAACGACGTCGTTTTGGGATTGAAAAATTAAAAAATTAGAGTGATAAAGACTATTATAACCCTGAAATAAATTAAAATTACAAAAATACCATGATTTCCGTCCCAAAACGACGTCGTTTTGATGAACATTAAATAAAGTTATCTAAAGTAACATCAGAAAAAACAAACCCATTTAAAAAACTATTTTTTAAGATAAAGGACACAAGTTATATTTTTTTAACAGTTTTAACTATAAATTCTCGGGAATACATAGTTATAATATTAAAGTTGTACTTTTTTTTTCTCTTTTCAAAAATTGGCTACTGATTTAGTAAGTGATAAAAGTACAACTTTAATATTATAACTATGCATTTTCGAGAATATATAGTTAAAAACGGCTAAAAGAATACAATCTTCTGTTCTTTAAAAGGACATTCCTATTTTTTCTTATATATTATTTTTATTTTTTGAAAAATGTTATAATTACCACCAGTTAAATTTATCACTT